ACCTGGCCTCCACAATCACCTGACCTCAACCCAATTGAGATGGTTTGGGATCAGTTGGACCGCAGAGTGAAGGAAAAGCAGCCAACGAGTGCTCAGCTCCTCTGGGAAGTCCTTCAAGGCGGTTGGAAAACCATTCCAGGTGACGACCTCATGGAGCTGACTGACACTTTTTGGTATGCTAGATAATTCCATATGTGTTCTTTTATAGTTTAGATGTATTCAGTATTAATCTACAATCTAGAAAATAATTAAAATAAATAAAAACCTTTGAATGAGAAGTTGTATCCAAACTTTTTACTGGCCGACGTGTTTTAAAAATATTGTCCGATAGGTAATATGTCAAAGATTCTCCATAAGAATGACATCGCAGTAGATCCACAAGCTTAGTTTTGTCTGTTCTAATAGTTTTGTTGATATGTATTTAGCTGAGTTGATAACATTTAAGTCATTATTCCAAATAACAATTTTTGGTAACACTTTGTATTAAGGTACACACATTCACCATCAACTAGTTGTTAATTAACATGCGTATTAGCAGTATATTGGCTCTTTGTTAGTCATTATAAAACACTTATTAATGCCTTATTCTACAAGTAATAAGCCATTAGTTGAGTTTTTCCTCAATAACCCTCCAATTAGTACTTATTTATTGCAAGTAAGGAAGTTGTTGTACACAAGTTTTGGTCTTAATATGCTCTGCTCAATATGGGCCTAATAAGGCAGTAGTACCACAAGAATAGTAATTCTCCCATAATAACACTTAACAAATATGATCTATTCTTATGTAACAAAACATGCAACTATAAGTGTTAATTAAGTCTAAATAACTCAAAATTAGGTATTTCTATCTAAGAAAATGTGCCTTATTTTACAGTGAAGTCTTGTTCATAACCAATAAGCTAGTAGTTTGACTCTAATTAGGTATTTCTATCTAAGAATAGTATGGAGGCTAAAATATATCGCCCCTCATACATAATACTTTATTTGGCAGTATACTTCTGTTCACACTGGTGACAAATGACAACATGACTGCTTTGTTCCCTAAATATGTGGTCAAATAAAAAAATTAACACTTTTGACATCTGCATTTAAAAGCAGTGCAATTTACATGATAAATCACAACATGATCAGATAGCTTTAATAGCAAGATATTTTAATTGTTGTTGATTTGATACCTCAAAGACAGGATCCCCAGTGAAGCGACTTAAGGCGGCAAACTCCAGGATGAGGGTGCCAGCACAAGCAGTGCAGGTGTCTGTTTCTGTGCCTGTTCTCGTCTCAGGACCCCTGACACCGTGTCTCAAGTTCACCTGTCAAGCAGAAGGAAGACAACCATTAAACTATCTGTTGTAAGAGTCGCATTTGTTGTGCAAGAAATATTTGCATGATCAAAGTCAGACAAGAAATGTTCCAAAGCTGCCAGCAGAGAAGTGAAACACAACATGTTAATGATGTGGTCATGAGCTGAGAGGTTATAAGTGTCATTTTAAAATGTTGCAAGCCAGGAAAAGTTGTTCTAAAATCTTAAAGGTCCCATGACATGGCCATTTCTACTAATCATAATTCCATTGTTGAGGTCTACTAGAATAGATTTACATTGTTCAATGTT